ATCTGCCCTCTTCCAGTTTAGGAGCCCAGGGTCTGACTTCAAGCTGCCATCCTTCTTGGCAAAGAGTCAGCAAAAGACAATGACCCTCATTGAGACAGACTGACACAGGGACTGTAACAATGGGCTCAAACGCAGTGACAACTCTGAGAATAGGGCAAAGACTGGGCAGTGTTCTATTCTGTCCTGTACAGGGTTGCTTCCTTTCAGGGCGGACTTGATGAGCATCAACAACAACAACAACAACAGCTCTATGGGAAAGCTTTCTCTGTGCCTCTGGAGGAAGGTTCTTATCTAGTTTCAGCCTCTATAGCCCAGTGTTTCTTAGATATTTCCACATGTTCTGACATCAGTATTTCCTGGGTCTAGGGGATCCTCAGCACAGGGATCCAGGGTCCAGTCCTAGCTTTTCTTTCTTGGTAGTAGTGAGGTCGCTTTCATCTCTAATGGCCTTGTAAATCTCTTTGGAGATGTAAAATGGATTAACTCAAGATACAGCCTAATACTCTAGATTGTATCCTACCTTATTGACATAATTGCCACTAATCCTGCCTCATTAGCATCATAGAGGTGAAGATTTACAACACATTGCCTGATTACATTGAATCAAAAAATAGAGCATAGTTACATAATCTGGGAATCAGAGCCTAGCCACGTTGACACATTCTGGGACCTCAGTTGAATCCCTGACAGCACTCCCTGCCTTGTAGCTCTTTCTCTGTCATCCTCTCCCCATGTGGGACTGTGTCTGAGTCTGTCCTTCTTGAATGGGAGGCCAGTCAGAAAGGAATGAGATGAGGGTCCCCACTGCTCATATGACCTCACTGATGGCCTCTGCTAGGAGAGCCTGGCTCCATCAAGTACAATCTCACTCACTCGTGTAGAGTTAGTACACTGACTTATCTTTTGGGACACAGCTCTTAACAGCAGAGGACACTCATGAAAATGACATAAAAAACACACAAACTCAAGTTTGAGCATTTTGAACATGGACAAGATTGTACAAAACTAACAAAAATGGCCTGACCTTAGAGTTATTCCACAATCAAATTCAACTCTACGGCTGATGTAATTTTTGTTACCCATTTTCCACACTTTCATTTCCCCCACGAAGGGGCTTTTTCCTGCTTACTCATTCTTTCCACAAGAATCTTTGTGTCTTTTTTGTCCCCTTATCTTTCTTTTCCTCTCAAGTGTAGCTTCAAATCATGAAGGATGACTCTCTGGCTCCATCATCTCCTCTCTGTTCCAGGACAGACTGCTTCCTCGCCAATCCATTTTTGATCACGTCTGTTTAAAGCCCTGCGGGCTGTTTCTTCTCTCTGCATTTTCTCTGTAGAACTGTAATCTTCTGGCCTCTAATGTATGTCTCTAAGGGCGGGTGAGCCTTCTTCCACATTCCTAGATCTCTGTGTGCTTTTGGTGCACACCACATAGAACATCACATCACACTTAATCCCTATTTTTTTTAATCAGAGTCCACCAGGCTAGCCCTTCTGATGCTGCATTTTCCTTTTACTTCAGTTCCCATCAATTCTCTTGTTCCACAGCAGCTGATCGAATGCAGCTTCTCTTGGGTCTGCCCTTCTCCCTGCAAGATCACAAGGCTGACTATATAGCTCTGGCATTTCTCTGTTGATGTATGGTCTGCTGCTTCTGAAACAACAGCATAAAGATCTGGGAAGTCAGAATCCATAGGGGACCACAGAAGGAAACTGGTAATTCTCCCACAGGACTCCCCCACGCGCCCCCCCCCCCCCGAATAGGTTCCTTCTCACTCTTGGTCGACACAAGACAATGCAGTGCTCATGCTCTGACTGTTCCTGAAACTCTGGCAACGAGCTGCTGTTATGCGCTCTTGAGTTGATGACAACTCATAGTGACCCTCTGAACAACAGCTCTGAACTCTGCCCTGTCCTGAGCCAATCTGTCTCTAACACACTTGTCCCCATTACTGCAGTCACGGAGTCAATCCATCTCACCCAGGGTCTTCCTCCTCCTGCGCTGTTCCCACACCCTTCCAAGCATGATGTCCTTTTTCCAAGGACCAGTTCCTCTTGGCAATGAGTAGCTCCATTATTCCGCCAGGCCAAGTTCTGGGTCTACCTCAGGTTAGAGAAGAGTCCTGGTGGCACAGCAGGCAAAGAGCTGAGTTGTTAGTCAAATGGCTGGTGGTTCAAATTCACCAGCTGCTGCACTGCAGAACAATGAACCATTTGGCTCCGATAAAGATGTCAGAAATCCGGGGCAGATCCAGGGTTGGTACACGTCACAATCAACTCAATGGCAGTGGGCTGGGTGGGTTTTCTTGGTCAGGGAAGGAGAAGGAAGTTTCTGAAAATAAGAAGCAAACACTCCCAATCCCCAGCATCTCTGTGTGGGGAGGGACAAGGGGCCGTCACTGTGCCCTTGGAGCCTAGAAAAGCCATGGTCCCATGTCCTCATCCGAGTGACAGCAGGGCAGGCCTGGAGAAAGAAAGGAGAGTGGCCTCGTGACTGATGGCTGAAGCAGGTCTGTTCTATTTGAATATTACTCTGGAATAGTCCACCCTGAAGAACACCTTCATTTTGCAAAAACTGTCACATATATTGTAAAAAAAAAAAAAAGAGACACTGGGAACACTCATGAGACATCTCCCTTGTCTGTTATTAGTTGCCATCGTGTTTCTCTGACCTGTGGCCACCCTACACCCAGAAGAATGAAACCTTGCCCGGTCTCACATCATGTCCACCATCACTGATGTGTGTGACCCTGTCTGCTTCAGGGAGACTTCCCACCTGAGGGCTCCTCTCTCCACACCGCTATGAATGATGATATTCTGTTGGGACTGTTAGGGCTCCGTGGGCCCTTTTGCTCAAGCTGATTTCCAGGCCCTTCTTCAAGCTTGTCCCACCCCGGATGCTCCGCTGTAACCCTGCCTGCTGTGGGTGACCTGGCTGGGATTTGATGTCCAGGAGCCGTGGCTTTCAGGACCACAGGTGGGTGGTGCCTTTCCTTTCACCTCATTAAGACTTTGACAGTCCCCACAAAGATAATCGTATCATCTGCAGACCAATCCCAAACTCCTCTGTTCATGCCTGGACTCAGTGCTGATGACTTAAAGCTTCTTCAGACACTTGGAGCCGTGGGCTGGTTGCTGTTGTGGGGGCTGTCGAGCTGATTCTGACTTGGTGATCGTAATCACAGCAGATCCACACCTTCACCATGCTCACAATTAACACTGTAACCAGCCCACTGCTGCAGTCGCTGTGTCAGTCCACCTCATTGAGGGTCTTTTTCCCCCTTAAAGACCTTCTACCTTTCCAAGCAGGATGTTCCCTTCCATATGCCATATGTGTCCCTTAAGTACACCCAGAATACATAAGCCAAAGTCTCCTGTTCTTGCCTCTAAGGAACACAATGGCTGCACTTCTGCCAACGCAGACTCGATTGTTTGGCAAAACTCTTTGCCATTAGTGAAGGAGGCCCGTCTGTTCCTGAGTATTCTCTGGCCTTGTTAATGATTCTGTCAAGAGTTCACCCTCTTCGGAATGAATGGACAATTGCAGAGAAGCAAGGTGCAATAAGACAGCTCTATTCACTGCTCAGGTGAGCACTGTCCAGTGCATTCCAGCTCAGAGCGACCCTGCAGGACAGAGCAGAACCGCCCACAGTTCCCAGGCGGTCATCTCCACGGGAGCATACAGCCACAGCTTTCTGGAGTGGCTGGTGCGTTTGGCATCCAGAGCTTCACCTACTGCAATATCAATAGTATCAATACTATTGATAGATTAGTATTATATAAATAGGATGCAAATACTTTTTCTTGTTAAAGAATTTACTTGAAAAATTTAAACTTAATCGAAAGAAATTTTAATAATCAAATTGTTTGAGACATACGAAATGACTCACTCTGGGCAATGGTTAAAACGTGTAGTGTGCAACATATTAGGCTGCTAACTTAAGGGTCAGGAGTTCAAATCCACAGGCTGTGGATGTGATAGATGTGATCTGTATGCTGTGTTGTGTGTGTTGCCTTTGTGTAGGAATCCATTCTCCACGATCCTATGCACAACCCACAAAGCCTTCACAGTGACCCAAAGAACACACGGGCTCCTGCCACCCAGGCTGCCCTGCCTCCCCTTCCACAGAACCCCACTCTGGTGTTGGGGCTAAAGCAGACAGATCTCGAAGGATCCACTTAGTGAGTCCCAAACGCCATCAGTCCAGTCAGAAGCCGGGGAAGCAGCATTTAGATAAGTTGGGTTTTCCAGGGCACACAAAGAAGGGGCCAGCGGGCAGTTTGTGCAATCTGGGAGGCACCAGGAGGTTACAGCCGTATGCACTGTTCCTGGAGCATGTTAGCAAAAGCCCTATGTCCAAGCCTGAGTTCAACTCCCCACACAAGTGTCCAGTTCGTTTTGTGTCCTAATGAGCACAAGACGGCCTTTCTCACATCTCTCAAGCTAGACGTTTCAGTGTTAATACTCAATGTCTCACCTTTTAGTGCTGGGAATGAAGACACGAGAGCCACATAAATGGGAGATACTTCCCAAACGCCTGGAAGGCTGAAGCTCAGGAAGTTTGCAACAGTGGCTAGTTTCTTTGCCTCTTGGCTGGAGAACAAGCAGCAGAAATGCGGGAGAAACTGAGGCCCTGAGCTAGCAGTGCTTCTGTGTGTGGGCTTGTTAAGTGGGAGACTTCCCACCTTATCCAGGTGGAAATGACCTCTGGCTTTTGAAAACCTCAAAGCGAGCTGGCAGGTGCTGGGTTAGCTTTGCCTCATGGCAACCCGAGTCCTACAGAGTGGACCTACCCCTTAGGGCTTTCTTGACTGTAACCTCACGGAAGCAGATTGCCAGGCCTTACTTCTGCAGCACTGCTGGAAAGGTCTGAACCACCAGCCTTTAAGTTAGCTGTTGACGACAACCATTTAAAACACAGATTTAGCCAAATGGGGAGGTATGGAAGTTCTGTGGTAGTCACTCCCGTGACCAGCACCGCCACTGTCGTGGTCACTTACCTGAGACCAGAGCAAGTGCTGAGGCTGACCATTGACCCCGGATAGCCGTGCACATGTCCATGGTAGTAACAGTGACCCTAGAAGGAAGGAGAAAACTTGGCTCAGTAACAGAGTCTTCTTTTCCACCTCAACCACCTGTATTCTCCTCTTGTTTCATCTGTAAATTGCTCTGCATAAAATAGGATGTTTGATGCTAAATTCAACACGAGGCAGCCAAGGGCTACAGCAGAAACATCGGGCTGACTTCCCAGTAATCTCTGGGGTCCAGCAGGCCCCCAGTTCTGTCCCAGGTCTGACACCTTTCATGAACATCCTGATGTGGAATGTCCCCCAGGAAATTCTCCAGCAGAAGGAATCCCAGTGACATCGCTATTTTATCCTTGTGTTCAATTGTCTTTTGTAATGAGATGTGGAATTGCAGGGGGCATTTTGACACACTGGGAAATGTAATAGAATGAAATCTGCATCTATGGTGCATGAAAAAAGGATAAAATGACCAGGGAGAGTGAATGGAGAGAGAGGAGGAGGAGGATAGGATGGCAGTGAATGATTTCATGGAGAGCCGAGAGCTCAGCTCAGCAGGAACGAGAAATAGGAAGATCTGACGGAAAACAAAAGTTCCCGGTGAGTGACAAGGCCTCACTATGCTATGTCTTTAGTAACATAGGTGCTTGTGAAACATCACCACAATGTTTCCCTAGTCAAGACTGTGAAGAAAGGTGGGCCAAAGCCCCAGGGAAGGGGCTGCTTAGCGTCTCCCCATCCCTCCTGGTCTGGTGAGGTGAGTACCGACAGTTCGGGGGACTGGAGAGTGGAGCTAAGTTTTACAAAGGGAGGAGAGGCAAATAGGCAGTTTTCAGGCTGACCCCATGTGCTGACCCCCGATCTTCTACTACAGTAAACAGCAATTCTTTATCAGAACGAGGTGTGCTCTTGCCTTCTATCCAACAGAGATAAAATACCAAAGATCACCTTGACTTTGCAAAGGGGGAATGTCACACAGGACTGACTAAACATGAATATCAGACACCCCCACAAGAAATTAGGGGAGACTGTCTATTTTCATGGATTTAAAGGGTAAGACCTGGGTCGCCTGAAGGCCACCGAAGGTGACATGAGGGCTATGCCTTTTCTCATTGATTGGAGAAGTTCTTTGCGTGTCTGGCAGCTCTGATGATGCTGTGTTTAAGGCATCTGAACGTCACCCAGAAAGCTGGTGGTCAGTCCAATAGCAGCTCCTTTGGACGAAGATGAGACAGTTTGCGTCCACAGAAATTTCCTTGGAAACCCAAAGGGTCAGCCAACAGGGTCACTGCAAGTCAAAGCTGACCAGGCGGCAGAGGGTGGGTGTGGTCATGCGTGTTCAGTGTTAACATGCTTCCTGTTGTACAGCCAGTCAGGCAGACGCTGACTCACGTACCTCAGAGAATGATCATGTTCCCCAGGGGTTGTCAGCATGGAGTTTTTGAAAAGCAGATTGTCAAGTGTTTCTTCCAAGGCATCCTGGAGGAAGGGTGGGGTGGATTCAGCCTCCAGTCTTTCCATCAGCAGCCTGTTAACCATTTGTAACACCCAGTGGCCCTTGCTTTACGCAGAAGGCACATTCTTCTAAAATGTCATCTGTTGTTTGTTGTTGTTGCATACTGCCAAACCAGAACTGACCCAGAGCTAATCCTCCAGCAGGTTTTCAGAGGCAGTTAACTGCACAAGAGGAAACTGTCCAGCCTTCTCCCCAAGAACAGCTGATGGATTCAAACCGTGAGCCTTCGGCATTGCAGTGCAGCTTCTTGCCAGGAGGCCAAAAGGGCTCACTCATCTATTGCATAGAGACTTCAATTTGTTTTTGTTTTTTGGGGTGGGGGGAGGAAATGGGGAGGGGCAAGTCAAAGGCATTCAGGTTAGTAACAGAAGATAGTCAGGAGAGTTTCCAAAATGTGCTCCTAGTGCCTCAGCTTTGAGGCTTTACGCCAGTGTAACAAAGTTCCAGTCCTGCCAATATTGGCTCGCCTCCCACCATCCACAGGCCTCCAACAAACTTGGGCAAAGGCTTTGAACTCTGACTTAATGGGAGAGAGTATTCCTAGGATCAGCTCCATCCCATGCTGGGCTTTGGTCATGGCTGCTGCTGCCACAGGTCTAGTTTGTGTAAGGATTTCTGAGCTTGACAGATGTACTACGTTTTCTTGCTGCTTCTGTGCTGGTGGAGAAGGTCTTCCAATTCTACTCTTGGATCCTCTCAATTTAATGGCAAGACTAGCCACTCCCCTTGGGGATCGTGAGACTAGCCAATCCCCTTTTTGAGAGGCTAACATACCCTATTTGCATATTCCTACCCATATACACAGCAAAGTAACATTCACTAGTCAGGAAGCCATTCTGAACACTAAACTCCACACCACAGACCACTCTCTGGCCTTGCTACCATTTAATATTTGATGAATTCTCGTTCTCCCTACAATAGACAATATTTGTGAAAGCATGTAAGTCAGAAACTGCATGCCTCTTGCCTTAATATCAATTTTAGATCGACAATTTCTAATTTGCCCATTCCTATCAAACCAGTACAATGACGAAACAAGCATGTTCCTTTCTCTGCAGAATCTTCTGTTTCAGTTAGAACATTCAGCATCTTCATCCACAAGCGAAATCCAGCAAAGAGCAAGCCATCAGGTGGCAGCCGTCAACACCAACTCACAGCCTGGAAGACCTTCTTAGGTTCTGGTCAATTCCCCTCCAGCCGTCAGTGGCTAGGTCCACATGGGCATCGGGGCCAACTCAGGAGTCCACACTTATCCCTGTGTTCCAGACTGAATGGCCCCTTCCCTCAGCATTAGCCCTCCTCATGGGGCCAAGGTAACAATTCTTGGGTCCTCATGACTCCCTGCTCCTCAAGCCAGGACCCATACACTCGTGCATGCTAGGTGTCAATAGTGCTGATGGAACATGTCCAAGCTCTGCCCGTCTCTTCATTGCTGCGAGCCTCCTAATTCTACTCCAGTTGGCCCGTGTGTGTGTGTGTGTGTGTGGGGGGGGTGTCACTATATTGAGCTTACTCATCAGTTCCATCTAACTTCAGAGATGCTGAATTTTTTAAAAGTAAAATTTATTGGTCTTTCCATTTACACATTTCATAAATCTCCAAGGACGAAAGCTTTCCTCAGTGTTATAAATGTGATCCTACTTTGCTCTAACACTCCCAATACTCTGACCACTCGCTTAAGATACTGAGATTCCCACCCCTCCCGTGGGAAAGTAAGATTTAAATCTAACTTCCCTTCAAATCAAGAGCCAAGTGGTCCACCATTATAGCTCCTTTCTGGCTGGTTAAAAATACCACTCTGTCACACTCAATACCTACTTATGCCTGAGGCTCCAGTATGTGTCGTTTCCCTGGGAAACTCTCCCATCTGTCCACTCCCATGCCGATGACATGTTATCGTAATGGCTACCGATCTATACCTGACCTGTTACCAAAGTTCTCTTTATGAAGCCAAATTACTACATTTAAAAAAAAAAATCAAGTGTACGATTACGCTGTTCAAGGTATTATTTATAGTTGTTTGTGTCGTTTTGTACCATCAAGTCAGAACTGGCCCATAGCTGACCCTCTGGTGGGTTTTCAGGGGCAGTTAATCACACGGGAGGCGACTGCCCGACGTTCTCCCGTGGAGCAGCGGGTGGATTCAGATCGTGTGCCGTGGGTTTGCAGCACAGCGTTTTGCCACTAGGCCATGTGAACTGTCTATACCCAAAGCCGTTTTTTAAAAAATAGCTTCACTGTGCTTCGAGTGAAAGTTTACAGGGCAGATTGATGCTCCATTCGGTAATCTGTACACTGTGCTTTCTGACGCTGAGTGCAAGTCGCACATTGTAACCACACTCTTCCACTTCCTCTCTGTGTTATCTGGTTCTCTCCATCCTTCTTTCCTGAGCTCTATTTCAGGGCTTTATCCCTTTGGATCTTGTATGGCTGCGTTCAGGAGTGTATTCTTCCCTGCTGTTGCAGATCACCTCGGAGGTTTGTCTCCTATCTGGATGAAAGCTGAGCCACGGGGCTGAGTTCAGGTCCTTGGGGGTACGCTCGCAGGTGTAGATAACTATCACAACTGTTGTTGTTGTTGTTAGGTGCCACTGGTTCGGTGATGACTCACTCATAGTGATCCCCTGCACAACAGGCCTGGACCTGTCCTATCCTTGCCACCCTCGTCACCTGACACACGAGTCCACCGCGACAGTCACTGTGTCAACCCATCCCATTGGGGTATAGCTCTCTTTCACTGACCCTCCCCCTTTCCAAGCAAGATGTCCCTTTCCAGGAAATAACCTCTCTTTGCAACATGTCCAAAGGAGGAGAGACAAAATATTGCCCTCCCTGCCTCCAAGGGGCCGTGGGCCGCACACGCTAGCCAATTCCTGTTGTTCCTTGTCCTTTTGCTCATCACCATTTTAGTATCTTGTCGGGATATTAGGAGACCTGCTGGTGCAGAGGGTAAAAGCATTAGGCTACTAATGGGAAAAGTTGGTGGTTGCCACCCACCCGCCATCCGACAGGAGAAAGGAGAGGCAGCGTGATCCCGTCAGGACTTACAGCCCTGGAAAGCCTGGAGGGCAGGTCCACTTTCTCTCACCGAATTGCTCGGAGTGGGAATTATCTGCAAGGCAGTTATTTTGGCTTTGAGTTTTACTACGGTTTTGATTTTCACTTCATAATGTCTGACTATATTGTGCATCTTTTCATGTGCTTTTTGGCCATCTGTAGAAATATCTATTAACATCCTTTGCCCACTGTTTATTGGACTGTTTGTCTTTTTATTGGTGAGTTATAGGAACTCTTTATATAGTTTGGATATTAAACCTTTATAAGCCATATAATTTTCATCTGCTTTATCCTATTCTGTGGATTGTCTTTTATTTTCCTTGTTTATTCATCAATTTTACTTTGATGGACCCCTCCAGTAATCTAGACTATAAACTCTCTAATAACTTTTACATTTGAATCTTGATTTTGTTGTGTTCCTTTATAACGGCCCAGGAACCAGGCTCCTCTGCATAAACCTTAGACAACTCTATAAAACTT